TCAGCAAGAACACAACTTTATTCTTCAACTCGAACACAACTCCAACACGGATCAACATCTGATAGCCAGAACAGCCTTTACATTGCAGCTGTCCTGCTTTTAAACATTCCCGGCTAATGTAGCCACACCCACTGTACAAATACCAACCAATAAGGTTGTTCACATAAGGACCAATCACAGACGTTCCCACTCAGGGAGCTTGCTGACAAGTGATTGGCTAGGTGCTTCCTGGGCTAGTAACACGATTGGATGGATTTGGATCCTAGCCCAGGACGAAGCTTAACATAGCATTTCAATTTGATGTTTCACAACATATCATGCATTCGAGGCAGCTTTGAATACACTACAGCTTGCTAATCAGTTTACCTGCTGGGTGAACACAGTGGCCGTGGTCACACCGTCATTTTGATCGGGTTCCGCCGCCGTTCCCTCTCGCATCTAAAATTGCTGATCAGACGCCCGCATCCGTCTCCCACACCGCAGTGGGCTCGCGCGCGCGATCCTCCTGGTTCCCTAGCGAGTTTTCCTACACCTGGAAAATCAAGGACTTTCCGGATATTTGCACTTTCAGTCCACTATTTCGCCGATCTGGACAGCCATTTCTCGCAATGATCGCGATTAGGTCCTCTGAACGTCCTTCTCGCGATGTTGGGGGGTTTCTTCCGTCGTGCACATGAGCAATCCTGCGCTGAATAAATTCAATGTATAAACTCCAGTGCTCGGTTGTACGTCACCGGTTAATGTTGTTTGCTGTTCCGGGGGGGGGGGGGGACCTGCAAGAACAAGGGAGTACGGCGAGTCCCAGGTGTATATGCGCATGTGCATATACACCTGATTTGGCCAGGTTTATATGCGCAAGTGCAAAGCCAATTTTTTAAAAAAAACAAACAAACAAGCCATGCCACCCAGGCGTTGTCATGGCTATCTGAACAGTGCCCGGAGCCTCGTTGCGTGATGCGAACAGTTCAGGGTGGGGTGTGTGGTCATCCCAACCCGGAAAAAAAATATTCCCGACCAAATCTATAGTGGGAACAAATCGGGATAAGCTTGCCATGTGACCACAGCCAATGACTCTAGCAGGTCGGGGGATCTGGCAGAACATTCAGGCAACATGCTTTTTGTGCAGAGTTGCAGGACGGGCTGTTTGTAAACAGGATCACGGAATCAGATAGCAGAGGTCCCGAACCTTTTTGGTCCTTCATATAACCTAGGCCCATGCCACGTCAGGCTTTAAAAGTCAAAACCAACACCTTGAACCGGGCTCTGGAGTGGAGCCAGTGTAATTGCTGCATTATGGGGGTCACATGCTTCTGGTAGCTGGCCCTGACCCGCAGTCTAGCTGCTGCACTCTGCTCTAGCTGCAGCTTCCGAACACTCTTCAAGGGTAGCCCCAAGTAGAGCACACTGCAGTAGTCCAGTCTAGGTGGTTGGAAGAGTAGAATTACGATTGAGTCTCGAACAGTGTTCCCTCTAAGCTGAGTTAGTGTGAGCTAGCTCACAGTTTTTTAGCCTCCAGCTCACACATTTTTGTCTTGGCTCAGGAAGGAGGGCTCCAGAGCAAACTAATTTATGCAGGAGCCAAATTGCTTGCTCACAACTTGAATGCCAGGAGCTCACAAAGCAGAATTTTTGCTCACAAGACTCCACAGCTTAGGGGGAGCATTGGTCTCGAATGCCTTGAGGGAAAATGCAGCTCAGCAGGGGCAGAAGGGAGGGAATTTATTAAAGCCCTGAGATGCTGTTGAGGCAATAGTGTTTCGATTGT